CAAATAGCATGAGGTTAAAGACTATAACAATGACATGGAAGCACCAGCTATAGTCTAAATACAATGTTTAACCCAAATAGGTGCAATGTAGTGTTTAATTCTTTGTACAGTACACAGAGAAAATAGATCTTTATTTCATCCACAGGAAAAGTAGCCAGCCGTGAAAATTCATCAAGTGCTGTTACTATGCTGGACTTTGAAAGATTATACTCTGTTAAATAAAAGAAACACAGAAGGCCACATACTATATGATTTCTTTCACTGTTGTTGTTACAGATAGGGTCTCACTGTGTAGCTCTGACTGGCCTCAAATTCAGAGATCCACCTGCGTCTGTCTCCTGAGTGCTAGGATTAAAAGTGTGTACCACCATGCCCATCTTATGATTAATTAAAATATAAAATCTGAGTATCATTTTTGCCTCTTCCTTCTCCCTCAACCTTCCATCTGCTCACCATGCAAATTACCACCACACCCTGACACTGGTAACTCCACAACTTCTGTGTAAAATGAGAAAGGAGGAGCTAGGTTTGAGCTTTTTTGGTGTTTTTGAGACAGGGTCTCCCTGTAGCCTCAGCTTTCCTGGAACTCACTATGTAGACCAGGCTGGCCTTGAACTCACAGAGATCTGCCTACCTCTGCCTCCCAAGTGCTGGGATTAAAGGTGTGCACCACCACGCCCAGCTGTGATTGTATTTTTAAAAACTATCCAGATTTGGGGACTGGAGAGATGGTTCAGTGGTTAAGAACACTTGCTTTTTTTCCAGAGGACCCAGGTTCGATTCTCAGCACCCACATAGTGGCTAACAACCATCCATAACTCCAGTTCCAGGGGTTCCGACACTGTCTTCTGGCCTCTGTGGGTATTGCACGTATGTGATACACTAACATACATGCAGGCAAAGACACTCATACACATAAAATAAAAATAATAAAGTATTTTTAAAAAAAGCAATATCCAGACTATATAAATTCATAGAGGGGAAAGAAAAAAAGGAAGTATCCTCAAGGTCTTCCTTGAGATGAGAGAAATGACATGGAGAACAGAAAACCAAGGGAACTATTTCAGAAACTAATGGAGACCAAGGGAACTCTTTCAGAACCTCCCTGAACAAAGAAAGGCCGTGGCTCAGTGCCGTCTTCAGCAGTATGTAGAAGACTACTGGGGGCTCATAATTACACTTTGTTTTCCTTCTATAAAATTAAAAAAGGAATGCCAAAACTGTAGTAGTTAAAACAAAAGCACATTTTAAAATTGATAGTCCTCCTTTGTCTTTCTCTTCTTGCCTCTCTCCCTTCCTCTTAATAACATCTCTCCCACAAGGGGAATGATAATTTGTCAGCATCTGGCCAGTGGCACCATTATTAAAAAGAAAAATGAGTACCAACTATGTATTACACATTTACTGCCCACAAGAAGAAGCAGCATGTTTTAGGAAACATGCAAGTAAATGCAAGCTTGCTCTGTGCTTTAACTAATACACTATAGTTCCATCCAGTGGCTTCTTTTTAGTTTTTTTTCTTCAACCTTATTATATACCTTGCACTTAAATAGAATGCCCACTTGGTAGCTTTTTTTTCTTCATCTGTGAGACATAGCCATGGCATTTAAGTTTTATTGCTTTTTGCTCTTGGCTTCAGAAAGATAATGAAAATGCGGCATCTTTTTAAAAATATTTTTATTTATTTTAATTTTATGTGTATGAGTGTATTGCCTGCCTGTGGGTAGATGTACCCGTGTCATGCAAAACCCACAGAGGTCAAAAGTGAATGTTGGATCCCCTGGAACTGGAGTTATGGACAGTTGTATGTCTTTTAAGCCCCACTCTTACATGAGTTTGAAGAATGATCATTTTTGATGGCTGGATGCTCTATGTTCTATGACAGGTCATCATTAAAAAATGGGTCTTAAAAACGTTTTTGGGTTACACTGCTTCCAAACGTTGTGTGCCTCATAATTATCAACTATTAAGATGTAAATTATATTTTGATAAGTGACAACTCAATGTTTTACAAGTTAGATGTTACTTATTATAAAAAAGTAACTCTTGGAGTGTTTCTTATATTTCCCTCAGTCTGAAAGTAATTTCTAATATAGAGATGAAGTTTATGCTCTGTCAACTATGAGTAATGCATGAGAAAAGAGCTGTATTATAGAGAGTTTAAACACAAGAAGGAGGCAGGGAGGGAAGGAAAAAAGAAGAGTGTTGGGAAACTCAGTATTAATTGGCCTCCTGATTTTAGATAGAATATTATTTATTGCATTGCTAAAATTATTTAATAAATTTTGAGCAGTGGGAGCTGTTTTGATAGGAAGCCATCTTAGCTTTACCATTTGCTGCATGCAGGCATGCCAGCCCACACCTGAAATCCCTGTGCCTGGTGACTAAAACGGGAGTATTGAGAGGAGTTCAGTGCCATCATGGTTTACAGAGTGCATTATAGGCCAACTGTGCTACAAAGTGAGGCCCTGTCTAAAAATAAATTAAATGGTCCCAACACAGTTTCATGTACTAGGGGACTAAGGATTAGGCTAGCTATTTTCTAAAGTTTCTTCTAAGTCTTAATCTTGCACAGTTTACATTTTGAAAGCTCTTATTTACTCAGCAATTGAAGTCAAATACCATTGGAATTTTGTAAACTTTTAGGTTGGGATACAATGTACTTCAGTATTATTGAATGTGAGTAGTTAGACTGGTAATTTTAAGTGTCCAGTTTTCTGAGATACCATATACATGCATATTGGACATTTATTTAGATAATTTTTTAATATAACACTATTTATGAGTGTTGCAGGCGTGCATGTAAGTGTACCACATGCATACAGTGCCTGCAGAGGCCAGAGGTAGACATGAGATTCCCTGGAACAGGATTTACAAGTGGTTTTTAACCACCATGTAGGTTCTAGAAATTGAACCCAAGGCCCCTGGAGGGGCAGCCAGTGCTCTTAATCACTGAGCCATCTCTCTAGTCCCTTATCTAGATAATTTATATTTGTTAATGGAAAATAAAACTTGGGAGATTAATTTTTTTTTAAATTTAAGATAGGATCTTACTACACGGGGAAGGCTGGCCAGTACTTGGAGTCCTTCTGCCTCAGCCTCCCAAATGCTAGGATTGCAGATGCACACCACATCCAGCTGGAAACTAAAATCATTTTGTACGTGCTCACAGAGAGAGAGAGAGAGAGAGAGAGAGAGAGAGAGAGAGAGAGAGAGTATGCATGGTAGGTGCTTCATCCACTGAACTATCTCCTGGAAATTAAATTTCCAAGTGATATTTGAACAACATTTTTAGCCAGCTCATCTGACTAGTTGCCTTGGTAGTATAGATTTCCTGCTGTTGTAAGTGATTAGCATAGGGCACTGTTTTGCACCAATATAGCAGTTCAACTGTGTGGACATGGTATGAAATTAAGTGAACCAAACTATTTAGTTTTATTTCAGTTTGATTTCCTTAAATGTTTTTTAAAATTAATGGTCTTGCTGGGCATGTTGGCGCATGCCTTTAATCCCAGCACTCGGGAGGCAGAGGCAGGCAGATCTCTGTGAGTTCAAGGCCAGCCTGGTGTACATACTGAGTTCCAGGACAGCTGGGGCTACAGGGAGACCCTGTCTCAAAAAGACCAAAAAAAAAAATTAATAAAGCTTGAATTTTGTGTGAGTCTGCTGTATATGTATATGTTTATCTGTGTACTGAAAGAAAAATTATTTATTAAATTTCATTTTCAAATGGTTCAACATTACTAATATGACCCGAGTTTTGGTACTTTTATTAAGAAAATAAAAGTCTTCATTTTGTAACTTCATGTTGTGATTACTTTGTGAGGTGTTTCTTGTACTTATCCTTTGTTGTATTCCAACGGCTAAGCTGTACGTTATAACATAAAGTTTGACTGTTGAGCCATTAGAAGGTGGTTGATCTGAATTGAGAGGTCTCTGTAAGGGTAATATATATTTGGATTTTGAAGATTTCTTATGGAGAATGCAAATATTTCCTAGGAATTTGTATGTCAACTTCTGTTGAAATGATACTATTTTAAGACATTTGATTGAATAAAATAGTATTAAGATGTATTTCTCCTGCTTATATTACACTTTAATGTGATTACTGATAAATTTAGATAACACACGGCTTCCGTTTGTTGCTGTTTCTGTCAGACAGCACTGTTCTGTACTCTGTCATTTTATATGAGGAGGTGAGAATTAGAAGGATACATACTTTTCCTTTTAACTGTTTCACTCCTATTCTGGAGCTATTTGTATGTTCCAACAGTTAAATGTTAATTGTTCTGTGCATTGTAGCCATATGCGTAATTACAAATATGTTCGGCCATCACTTGACCACCAGTTAGTATTGAAATGTATTCGTGCAAGTTAGAAGATAGAGAATAAGGAAAAATAAGAGTGAGAAAAGGAGAATTTGTTGTTAAGACTCTGGTGCTAGTACTTAGTATATAAGTATCATGACCTAGAATTACACTGTGCCCCACCACTTTTCTTTGATCATAGCAGACTTTGAAAAACACTAACAAAAGACATATTTCGTGTTTTCCAAGTGAAGGAACATAGACCAAAGAAAACTACTTAGGAGGCTGTGGATATGGCTCAGTGACAGGGCCCTGCTTGCCTAGCGTATGTGAAGCGCCAAAGAATATCACTTAGTTTCTGCTTTTTTTCTTAATATTGTCATTGTGTGTGGGTGTGAGTATATGTGAAATAGCTCATGAACAAGGGCACTCAGAGGCTTTTTGAGCTCCTGTTTGATGCTAGTGAGGATACCCTTCTTTTCTCTTAGTCTCTTCCCCATCTCATTCCCATGTCCATGTTTGTTTTTGTTTTCCTTTTGTTGTTTCTCAACAAGCCATACTTGGTGCTCCAGCTTAGGTTTACTTTTCAGTTTCCGAAATAAGAAATAACAAACGCTGTTATGTTTTGTATTTGAAATTGTAAGGTCCATTTCTTTTTTTATTTTATTTTTAATTTAACTCTTTGTTTTACAGATGAGGGCAGAAGTGCAGTTGACCAAGCAGGTGGTGCACAGATTGTAATTGACCATTTAAGGTCACTGTGCAGTATAACAGATCCCGCCAATGAGAAGCTCTTGACTGTCCTTTGTGGCATGCTGATGAACTATAGCAATGAGAATGGTAAACAAAACTGAAAACTTGCTTTATCTGTGGGGGAAAATTAAATTAAAAATAATTCTCACTACAATATACAGCATATTTGAACATAAAGTGAACATTCATAAGTGATACATAAAATTAAGAAATAACTCATATCAGCTTGCAGTGCTTGAAAATTTTTAAAAATGGTCTAAGGTACTGAATGGAATAGGTTTTGAAGGACTACCTGTGTTAATTAGTACCTAAAAAATCAAGCATATGGTATAGTTTAAGTTTTTTTTTTATTTGCTATGAACATTTTAAAAATACATAATATTAAAATAGCCTGTTTATGACTTTAAGTACCGGAAGTAACTTTAAAACATTGTTTTTGGAAAGAATATTATTTTATACTAGTTATTATATTTAGAAGAATAAAAGTTCTTTAATAAAACCTAGCTTTAGAAAAACAAAGTTCAAAGTAACTAAGCTAGCTCATTTTAGAAACTGAATAGTTTTTTAAAAACATTTTTCCCTATAAGAAATTTTTAGAGCCTAGAAAAAAATGGCATAACAGTTTCCATACAGCCTACTTGATTGTTAATAAAATGAGCATAAATAGAATGGTACTGTCTTCATAATACTTTTACGTTAGAAAACATTTCTTTATTATCTGTGTAACATACTATGAATCAAATGCTCAAATTCCTGAATGTTTTTGGCATGTGATATAAAGAGGTCCTTTTGCAATTTGTTTCATATGGCATTTTAAGTTCAACAGTTGCATATTGGATGTGTAAGAGTATTATTTCACGTTTTACAAATACATGACACAGCACATTTTCGTTTTTTGTTTGGTTAGTTGGTTGGTTGACACAGAAAATCCAAAAGAAATAGTCTCAATAATGTAAAAAGAAAAAGTAAACCTTGGACTGGGACTCAGCAGGTAAAGTACTTGTCATGCAAGTTTGAGAACTGAAGCTCTGATTCCTAGAACCCACATAAAGCATGGCAGGCACCTGTATCCCACAACACAGGAAATGGAGACTGGATTCTCAGAACAAGCTGTCTAAGCTGTACTAGCTGAATCAGCAAGCTGTGGGTTCAAGTGGGATATATAATGCCTCAGTATATAGGCTGGTGAGCAGTCTAGGAAGATTCTCGATGTCAGGCTAGGGCATCCACATACACCCTCACACATGTACCCACACATTTATACATATGCAAAGAAAAAGAAGGTAAACCCTGATAAATAGGTGGTGACATTTGGACTTTGGTATTTTGTGGCAATGAGTGACAAGAACTGTGGCAGAATGAAGAGTCCTTGTCCCATTGAAAGGGGACTGCTTTTCTCCTGGCTGCTTCTGTGTGGCAACTTAAACGAAATACTACTAAATCTTTTTATTCTTTGGAGAAGAAGGAAGCTGAAAATCTTGTTTTTTCATGTAATATCTGATTTTCAAATGTTATGTTTGTTTTTAACACTGTACAAGCTATGCAAAAAGTATCTTCAGGTCTACCTCCAATAGATACTAGTCTTAAAATTTTGAATTAAAATTATTCATAATACAAAAATAGTTTTATTGAGCAAGTGGCTGTACTACTGAATGAGTTAAAAACATTTGGTAGTCTTTATTTGGCCAGTGACGTCTATTTTCCTTCAGTGTTGTTGAATCCTTTTTGAAGATGAAATATCCTAAACATGAACAGAAACAGAAAGGACAGAGGAAGGTAAATATGAAAGTAACTGGTCATGAAGATAGCATAGCAGCCCTGGATATGATAGACTGCCTCTTTTATGCACCTAAATTAGGAATGTTCTTTGAGGAAGCTATTGAAAAATGCATGTAAAAATGAGAGCTGGAGAGGGGCTCAGTCTGTAAAGTGCTGGCAGGGCAAGCATGGGGCCTGCTGCTTGCGTCTGTTATCCCAGGACCAGAGGGCAGAGACAGATCCTGGAGTTCACTGGCTGGCCAGTCTAGCCAAATGATGAGCTCCGGGTTTCAGGAAAGGCCCTCTCTCAAAAACAATAAGGTAGAGCCAGGCATGGTAGTACACACCTTTAATCGCAGGCAGATCTAGGCTAGCCAAGTCTACATAGTTCCAAGCAAGCTGGAGCTACAGGGAAACCCTGTCTCAAAAAAAAAAAAAAATTGTGGAGAGGCCCTTGAGGAAGACATCCTGATATCAACCTCTGACCTCCACATGTGCGCTCACACAGCCAAATGGCCAAATGAACCTCAGAAGCATCACTAGGCCCTACCATATAGACTATCTCCATGTATAAAGAAGCGTCCTGGGAAGGCAGTGATTCATAGGCAGAATGCACATACTAAGTGCCTTGTATGTTTTTTAAAACTAGGCTCTTCTTGGTGTCCAGTACTCCTTGAGAAATAACTTAGATGCTTTGAAAAGCTATATTAACGTGTATCGTAATGTTGGGCTTCCATTTAAATGTATCTTTCAAAACAGTAGATAAAATAGAAGTTATTTATAGAATTTTAAAGAAACAAATGTCAAACCTATAACTATTTTTTTCTTTCTTTCTCTCTATCAGGGACACCTTAGATTTTGAAGTGATTCTTTTGTTTTTAATGCTTTAACATATGTCCTGATCGGTTTGCTTTGCGTTATTAGTAAGCATCTTTATTCTTGAGCTTATGTTTATGCTTGCCTTTAAAATTTCTGTTTAAAGACTTTAATAGTAGGTCTTTTTTACAAGCAAAAGTTCATTTAGTCTTGATCCTTTGTGCCCAAATACGTCACTACAACCCAAACACCAAGAGGTCACTGAAACTAAGGAGACACTTTTTATCAGCACTGACACGTTTCTTTTTGAATGTGTTTACTTTTGAATTTCAATACATACACCTCTGCTAATTTGTGGATAGAGTATATGAGTGATAAATGCCTTCCTTCTACTCCAGCAGAAAAAATTAACTGTCTCTTTTAGCTCAATAATTTAAGCCTTGTCTATAGTTAGGGAATTTTTAGCTGCATTATTTTTCAATATACTCTAAAAAGATAGTAGTGAATTTCATTATAAAGACCTCCAAACATAAGCTCCCTGAGGAAAACTTTTTTGTTTGTTTATTTGTCTTTTTGAGACGGGGTCTCCCTGTAGCCCCATCTGGCCTGGAACTCACTATGTAGACCAGGCTGGCTTTGAACTCATAGACATACACTTACCTCTGCCCCCAGAGTGCTGGAATTAAAGGCATGTGCCACCACGCCAGATGGGAAAGATTTTTTAAATTAAATGTTAGTGCTAAAATGGATTGACACCAAGGAATATCTTGATTCAAATACACTTAACTGTCATGAAACTGTCTGCACATCAAGATTTTAAGCCCATTAAATGAGGAACAAAACAAGTTTCCCAAATTCACAGAAGATAGATTATGATAATACTTTTCAACAGAGGCATTTTTGTACCACCTGGTAAAATTGTGTGAATAACTGAAGTTGATTAGTTTAAAAGTTTTGAACTAGCTTGGGACTGTAGTTTTAAACTATGCTCTGGCTGTAGTCTCTTTTCATCCACACTAGTAAATATAAAGTATCTGAGTAGTAAAGGTTACACTGCTGAGCCAGAGACATTATATCAATAATATTATATGAAACTATATATAAATAAAATGGGATGGTACAGAAATGATACTTTATTTGATTTGACAATTCTGACTATAGAAAAACTTAAGAATTTGGCATGCAGCTTGAGGGAATGTATTGGATTCCCTGGTTTTTAAATCTAGATACAACTAAAGTTTTACTTATCCAAGAAACTCGAATCTTGTGTTTCATTAATTTTTTTCTTCAGATCTTTTGCTGGTTTTGTTACACAGGCCAAAGCACTGCAGCTTCACAAGACTTCTCTTGGCCCATTTGTTGAGCGTTAACACGATTGCTCTCTGGCTTACACTAGAACTACACCCTAATAAATCGATCATAATATTGAAGATACCACACATGGAAATTGTACTTAAAGATCATTGCTTAGCACTGTGGAGTACCATTCCTTAACTTTGCTTTTTAGCCAGCTGGGAGCTGTGACATTGCTTCTCCTGCCATTCATCACAGACTCATCATCCTGCACATCCACTGGCCTGGGAACAGGGCAGAATGTCAAGGTCTATTACATGCTTCTGAGTACAATTGCTTCCACACCATCCTGAAGTTAAAAAATCTTAAATCAACCATTTTAAATCAAGGACTCTCTGTATTGCACCATTTTCACACATAGCTTCAAAAAGATTAATTCATTGATTTGGGTACTCAGTAGCCAGACACTGGACACTTTAATATTATCTGAATTTTCATTAATAAAATCAATACTCGAAGAAAAATGTTATTGGAAAGCATTTCCTTTGTTATATAAGTTAGAAGCAGTATAAATTATTGTATTGGGTGATATTCCCTATCCGGATACATCGTGGTAGCAGAAAGGAACACTGAAAACAAGTAACAAGTTCCATTTCCCATAAGCAGTCCATAAAGTTGATAAGTATGCACATGTACACTTGGAAATTGATTACAGGTTTGAGTAGAAACAAACCTATAATTTACAGTAATCTATTTAGATACCAGAATAACACCTTGTTCAGGAATCTGTCTGTTGATAAATACCATTGTTACATTATAAAATAGCCATGACTAATCAGTAAGTAATAGAAACTCCTCTTGAAGGTTTAATATTTTTAATACAGTTGTACTAGAGACACAAAATAGATGGTAAAATTTGTTACAGCTTCTTTGTAAATGTTGATACAATAAAGACTTTTTTCCATAAACTATTATAAAAGTAAAGGTGATAAACGTGCCACCAGGAATTAGTTCCTTATACATTTATTTTTTATTTATTTTTATTTTATATATATGAGTATATTGCCTACATGTATGTAAGTGCACCTGTGTTGTGCAGTGCCCATGGAGCTCAGAAGAAGGTATTGGATCCCCTGGAACTGGAGTTACAGATGGTTGTTACCCATCATGTGGGTGCTGGGAACTGAACCTGAATCCTCTGCAAGAGCAGCCAGTGCTCT